TGAATGCTTTTTGTGGCTTTGTTTTGTGTTTTTATTCTCAATCTCCATTTTTAGCACTAGAAATTGTTTATCATTTTCTATGTGAATGTCATCATCTATTAAAAAAACAAAAACAAAAAAGTGGTGCTTTTCCATTCCTATGCTTATTATTCCTCTTGCCATTTTCCTTCCCTGATAATTGTTACAAGCATTTGTCCTGCTACATTAAATAGGAGTAGTGTTTAGGCTCTCCTTATCCTGTTGCTTTTTTAAAAGAATGCAAAATGTTGATTCTTGACTTTTAGTGCACAGTGTATTATTTATTATATTTAGAAAGGCCCTTTTATAGCTTTAACTTTTTTTTTAAATCAGGAATAGTCCTGGGTTTTATTCAGGATGAGTTTTCATAGTTTTCTATTTCTTCCCTCTTGTTAGGTCCCTCTGCTGACCCTTGTCAGTATTAGCTGCATGCTTGCCTAGAAGAAATCCTCTCTGCTTCTAAGTTGTGTGGGTAGGGTTATCTATTCAGACAGAACCTAAATCTGCTCTAAGCAAGGGCCTGAGGGCCTCCTCAATGGATAATGTGCATGAGGCTTTGTACTTGGACTTGTCACATGCATTTTGGCTACATGAGACAGTTTTTCAAATTTCCTGATCCTCGTTGAAATTTAAGATCATTATAAATGACAGAGAGGTGATTTTCAGATGAGTAAGGTCCTATTACTTTAGGCAGAGTTTCTGACAGTGTTTGGTAAATGGATGAGAATAAATGATACACCTAACTGCAGAGCCCCAAGGGAGATGTTATTCCTTCACATTTCTGTTGTTTATTATAACAGTAAACACCTCATCCCATCGCTATGTGACCTTCCTCAGAAGAACCACTGACAGTTAGAGGCAAAAAAAATCATTTGCCACAGACAAATGAAAAAATAAGTTGTGACTCTCTTTGTGGTTTTGAGAGATAGAAAATACAACTTTCAACTTACCTGCTTTTAGATATATAGAGAACATATATGTTTTTAAAGATTAAAATAGAGGGAGTCCTTGCCATGTGGGATTTTATATTGGAATCCTCAAAGTTACAAAGTTTAAAGGGAAGCAAAATTCATCATAAAGAATAAAAGAAAAAAAATCACCAAAGAAACAATCTACCTATAAAATTAGCCATCAGCAAACATCCAAACCCAACAATTCTTCATTCCTGTTCACAGTTCATGTTTTTCCTGTCCTGCATCTCTACTCGAGCAGTGCCTCCTGCCTGGAATGCCTGTTTGTCTGTCCTTTCGTCCATCCATCCACTCATGCATCTATCCATTAAGTCACTCTGCAGCAGCTATTGAATATCCTCTGTGTGCCAGGATCTGGGCTGCATAGGAATACCCTAGACATCTCTCAGGGTGTAGTTCAAGTGCCACCTCTTCCAGGTAGCAGATGCTTCCCTGATTCCCTAACCTCTGCCCTGCAAAGCTAAAATGCTCTCCTCCTTGTCTGAGTGCCCACAGCAGCCAATGACTTCTCTTATAGAGCACAGTTCTAAATGCTACTTGGTGTTTTAAGTAGTGGTGTTTGTGTCTCATCCCTCTCAAGAGGAGAGTTGGTATCTGCTCAGCTCCACATCTTTCTCCATAATGCCTGAGACTGACCCAGTTTGTGGCCACCCACTGGAATCCTCCTTTCCTCTTTTTAACATACTCTTTCTCTTCTAGGACTAAAGTAGCTGCAGCTGATGGGCCCCCCAGGATCCCAACCCAGACCCTCACCCCTGTGAGGCACACGGTAAAGATAGACAAGGATGCCCTCCTCCAGGACTATGGATTTCACATTTCTGAGAGCCTTCCCCTCACAGTGGTGGCTGTCACAGCAGGTAGGGGCTGACGGGAAATGAGAAAGGAGTTTGACTGCTTAGGGGGAAATAGCCCTGGTTCTCCTCCGATCTCTCTGTCCTATAACAAAATGCAGAAAATACTCCCCCAGGAAGTTAGAAAAGGCACCCTCACTCTGCCCTAATTCTATCTTGGGCTTTGCACTTTCCTCTGGTGCTGAGAGGGAGGGAGGGAGGGAGCCCCTAAGTAAGTATACTTGCTGCCCTGAACCCCAGATTGCCAGTGGCCTGCCAGTCCTTGAAAAATGCAGCTCTTTCCCTTTGAACCCTGCATGTTCCTAGCTGAGGAGAGTTTCTGGTCAGACAGTAATAGAAATTGATTTGTTTTCAGTTGAATCTCTGTGAAATATAGGCTATACCAGGGTAGAGAGGAGCAGGCTGGGAAAGTCTGCTGTTTGTTTTCATACTTGAGGTGTGTATTGATGTTATAATAGATATAGAGTTAGTTAAAATATATTGATTTCAATTTATACACATACACACATACGCATACACACACCAAAGATCTTTAGAGATGAATGTCATAGGTTCACTGCCCAATTCTGTTGATTCGGGTCTCTGCTGGTTTTCTTTCTCAGAACAGTCTCCTAACATCCCTTGAAGTTGATGGGTGATAGGTACCTTATCCATGGTTTACAAACTGAGAGCCTTAGCTATAAAGCTAAGATCCACATGAGTCCAAGCTTGGCTCAAGGGGAGGGGTGAACCAGTGCCCTGGGGACTAGATCAGGCTGCCATTCAGCTGTGTCGCTGTGACACATGGAGTCTGGGCCCTGCCTGCATGAGTACCAATTACTTATTTTCTGTCCAACAGGAGGCTCTGCTTATGGCAAACTTTTTCCTGGTGATCAGATCCTCCAAATGAACAATGAGCCTGTCGAAGACCTTTCCTGTGAACGAGCAGTCGATATTCTGAGGTACTAAATGGTCTTCCATTATCTACAGAGTTGCACAAACTATCATAGAGCAAAGATGGGCAACAGAAATGGCATAACTGATCCCGTGATTTCAGTAAGGCAGCAAGAACAGCTTCATTTTAAAGTTCCAACTCTGTTAAGACAGCTTCTCAGTGGTGGCTGTTACTATCTGCCCCCTTTCACCTGCCTGCAGAAGGGGCACAGAGTACTGTACGTGTCAAACCCCTGCTATGCCCAAGACACTGTGCGAGGTACTTCGGGAAATGTAATTATAAGTAAATATATAGACCCTACCCTCTAAGTATTTATAGACTTCTTGTAACATATGCCAAAGATTGAACTAAATTGATACCAAATCTCTTTGTTCTTCTGTAACCCTTCTGATATCTCTTCTTAAATGTTCCTGCAGGTGTAGTCTGGTTGGTATATATGTAGTTTCATTGATACAGCACCTCCTGCCTTCTACCTAGTGTCATTGTGATTTATGTAAATGCCTCACTTTCTACCTAGATCCTGAGACCAGGGCTCAGTGGCTGCTCAGTTTAAATGCGTGAATATGGTTGGCACTCAGAATTGGTGACCATGGTTTTAAGGTGGACAAACGTCAGTGACAGGAGTAAAGAAGACTGGCAGATGTTTTATAGGCACATGCAGGCTTTGGCTTTTAAAGTCTTCACACAACACTGTTTTAATGACTAACATAAAGAGAGAGGAGAAGTAGTGTTAGGTGAAAGCTAACTTGAAGATACACATGTACTTCAGTTTGTGCGTTTTTGTGAGTGGCTGCTCTGGCTTTGGGATGGTATTAATTTCTCAGGGCATATCATGTGCAGCACACATTGAATAATAGGTAACAATTACGAGGTAAGAGCACAAGAAAATGAAGATGTAGGACGCGGTCTCCGCCCTCAGGAAGCACAGTCTCACTGCAGACACATACGTGCGCGCACACACACACACACACACTCACTTACACACACTTACGCTTTAAGATTTGTAGAGAATCTATTAAGATGTAGAAAATAGAATTCCTTCAACCAAACCCAATATTGCTTTAGGAATGCCAGAGAATAAGTTAAACCAGTAAGGCAGCCAAGAAAGGATTTGACGATTTCATTTAAAAATAAAGAAGTACAGTTATGGTAATCATGAAATTTGCTTTCCCAATTATTGGACTGTTTTCTCAAGGATGATCCCTTTCAGTGATTTCGATTTTCAGTGCTACTAATATTTCTGCCAGGCCAGATCAAAACTCATACTAATAAAGAAATGTATTTATAATTTTAGGCAGTAGACCAGAATTTGGGTGTTCAGGTAACATTTAACCCCTCTCTGTTCACTGAGCACCTCCTCTGGGCAAGGAACCCTGTGGGACAAATGGACTCCACTCCCCAGACACTTACAGGCCGGTAGTGCAGATACAGTGTGTGCGCTCCCCTCTGAGATTGAGGGCATCCACTGTGTCAAGAGAAGCACAGAAAATGGGCTGTAAATGTGGAGATTCCTCCAGGTTGGAAGGAAGTTGTAATTTGACAAAATAGAGAAGGGTCCAGAAGTAGTTCTGCTGTATCTTTAATGCTGGGTAGAATTTGGCCCACAAAAATGGAAGCGAAGGGGACCCAGGCAGAGTGATAAGAAGGAGCAACAGGGTGGGGATGGGAAGTGGGAGGTGCTGAGCAGTTCAGTTTGCCTATAGAAAGGTTCTGGGAAGTGAAGTCCAGATGATGGAGGGTCTCGAACGCCAACACAGCAAGCCCCAGTGTTACTCTCCTCCTGGAAGGGCAAGCCATTGAAGGCTTCTGAGCAGGGGCGTGTGACTTGAGGTGTGCTATGCTTCTGTGCCCTCTGCTGTATTTTGATGTGTGAATCCCACGACTGCTTATGTTTTTTAGCTTAGTTCCCAGTGTCTAAAAGCGGCATGTATTATTCATTGTCACTTGTGAATGGAAAAACACAAAGCAAAACAAAAATGACACAACAATGCCAAGAAAACCTCTCAAATTCCTCCAAATAATCTGTGAGGCCAAAACATCCTTTTGAGAGCACTTGCACCTTGGTTTATTGGGACTTATCTCAGCAAAGCTCTTTTCGCATATAAAATGAAAAAGAGGCAGTCCCAAGACACTTAGAATCTCAGGTTGAGTTTATCCATTTGAGGAAATAACACACCAGAAGCAATTGGCCTAAATGTTCATATTGCAAGAAGTCAAATGAAATTATTTTTCAAACTGCTTCTCTATGTAGCAATGGCTACATGGAGAGAAAGGAAAATATGAATTGATTTCTCTGTCCTGTCCACTAATATAAAGTGGTGGTTTGGCAGTTATCTAGTTGGTTTGATCACTTTTGAAATCTAGGAGATAATGTAAGACAAAAATATCTAGTATCTTGATTATATGATTAGGTTCATTACATTGACTTTGTGTACCCAAACACCATAAACTCTTTGGCTTTTATCTGATAAATGTTCTCCACAGACATTCGTTCTATTCAGTGAAATGTTTAGCCTTAGTTTTCTAAAATAGGAACCTAAGTTATCTGTGTTATTTCCATGTTTTCTCTTAAACATTTTTTTTGGAGATAAATCTAGATAATATCAACTGGATGAGCTCTCAATTGTATGGGACTAAATTAAGGCTAATTGCCTGAATTAATTTAATTGCTGTAGAAAAGACTAGATGGTAGAGGAGGATATCTGGAGATTCCTTCAAGGTTCAAGGAGCACTCTGGGCCAGGTCAAGTTCATTTGCAGATTGCTACTTTCCCCAACATGCTTCTCAATTTTGCTGAGCCAAAGAAGCTAAGGCTGCTTTAGAATAATAAGTCTTGCCAGTCTTTTTCACGCACACACACACACACACACACACATATACATAGACACACACACACAAACACACACCACACATCATATAGAATGACTAAATGTTTTCATCTTCATTCTTTTTTTTTTTTTCCAGGGAAGCTGAAGATTCTCTTTCAATCACAGTTGTTCGCTGCACATCGGTAAATCTCTTGTGTCCTGTGTGCTAGTTCACCATCCTTGGCCCTAAGACCCTCATAGAGGGTATCCCGCATAGAGGAAGCAAGAAAGGCAAAAGGCAGAGATTGACAACTGCCAGGCAGTGGGTTGTCTGAAGATCTGTGTGCAAGTACTATGGAGGAAACATGGGGTCCAGCCAGGGGGACAGACCTATGATTTTGTAGAGTAGGACAATGAGAAGGGCACCAAACTAGGTGATTCAAGACAGGTTTAAGTGTTATAACTTTGGGCAAATCATGTAGTTTCAGTTTTCACTTTTGTAAAATAGTGGTAATGACAATAACTGCCTTGTCTATCTAGTGGGTTGTTATGAGGACCAAGAGAGGTATTGGATGTGAAAGTGTGTTATCAGATCTGAGGCTCACCACCAGGCAAGGTGTGGTATGGATGATGCACAGGGAGCAAATGGCAATCCTAAACCACCACAAGCCAAGGAGATCATTATGTATTATTTGGGGAGAAATATATAATCAAATTATAAGAGGAAAGACTACCAAGGAGGAAAAGTTGACAGAAGATTCTCATTGTAAGAGACTTTAATGTACACCTCTTAGCCTTGGCCACAAATAGATCCCCCAAAAATAGAGGCATAGAGAATTTTAATAATGCATTTAATTATCTAATCCGATTGACCACATGCCAGGCTACCAAGAAAACACAGTAAATTCCCCAAATGAAAAACTGTAGCAGTCCTTTTTCCTGAATATAATAAAATAGAAACTAATAACTATCAAAATTTGATTAAAACCATCCAGCCATTTGGAAATAAAAATGTGATTTCCTAAGATAGAGTCACATAGAAAAGGAAAATTGCTGTTAAAGACTGCTTAGAAAATTATTGAAAATTAGAACTGTACTTAAAATTCATTATATGCAGATTGGTCCGAGTGCAGTGGTGTTTACACTGTGTTTACACAGTGGTGTAATTGATCACA